GCGGGTCCGACCGCGCGGGCTGAGAGCAAAGCCTCGCGGACGGGGACAGTCTCCAGGCTGCCGCGGCTGCAACCGTGGTCGTCACGGCTGCTCCGACTTCTCCTTCAGAGCAACCCTTTAAACATGCCGCCTGCGCCCTGCACCCCAGGGCCTCTGCTCACCTCGCAGCCCCGCGCCCTCCGCCTTCTTTCCCCCCAAGAGCAGGTTGGCTCACGGGCCCGACTCACAGCCGCCAACCCCTTCACTTGGTGGCAACCAACCCCTTAAAGCCCCTTGGTGCCTTCCCAGGAGGCAGTCCAGCGGAGGGCCTCGCAGGGAGGCCCCCACCTCCCGCGCCCCTCCCGCGCCCCTCCCGCGCCGTCTCCGCCTTTCTCCGGGCACAGGTCCGCGCCCTGCGCGCTGGGTGCTGCCTCCGCGGGGCCCCTCTTAGCCCTCTGCTCGCTGCCGCCCCACCCCGTTATTTTCTCCATCTCTCCAGCTGGTCAGTAGGGCCGGACGGAATCCACGCAGTTGATGTATTGAAAGAAATCAACGGGTCACGTTGTCCCCTGCAGATCTTATTAATTAATCAGATCTGTGAAGACAGCTGTCTGCAGCCAGAACCTCTCTTCTGGGCCGCAGCCGACTTCTGCCTCTCGCTGTCGGGTGTTGCTCGTTTTAGTCAAATGCCCCGAGCGTCACTGATGCTTGCGGGTCACCTGTGCGGGCAGCCTGCGGGTCACCTGTGCGGGCAGCCGGACGGAGCGTTGCTGCCGGTAGAACTGTGATGATGGGCTTGTTCTCTGTCTGTCCCACAAACCACATGAGACCACAGGGCTCTCGAAATGTGGCCGATGCGACTAAGGGACTGACTTTTTAGATTTTACTTTACTGCAATACAACTACATTTAAATGTGGCTGGTGGCTACCATCCTGGACAGCGCGGGCACAGAGAGGCTGGGAGAACTCAGTGTAATTCATTAAAAGAAGGTGAAAAAAATTCCTAAGAAATACTCCTGGAAAACTCTAACATGGTTACTCTTGAATGTAGAAGTGGTGATATCTAAACTTTCATTAGTGGACCGTAATATACTGAGAAAAGGTAATGTTCTCCTTAACTTTTGGCTTGTAGGGTTTGAGCCTTCACGGCCTCAACCAGATGCTGAATGTCAAAAAGCAGAATGTCTGTTTGATGAACTTGAGGACAACAGGAACTTTGGGCAACCCAGGGTAAGATAAACACCTTCCATATCAGATCTCTCTCTGTCTCACTTTCACTACCCCCCCCAACATCTATACATGTACACACACTTCTATTATCTTTTGTTTCCTTTTCTCTTACCTTTAAAATAAAAAAGACCATCATCCCATATTGAACCTGTGTTCTCCCTTAGCAGCATCACTCAAACACCTCTCTACATCACTACCTACCACATTATTTTTAATGAAATCATATTAAATCTTATGAATGTACCATAATTCATTGAACCCATCCCGTTGTTGGACATTTAGGTTGTTTCCAGAGTTTTATTATTAATCTCTTTGATGTCTTAATAGTTAGGGTAGGGCAACCTTCTGTAGCAAATAGGCCCAAACTGTAATGGCTCAGACCAGGAGGGGTTAGTGTCCCTCTTTCTGGACAGTCCAGGCCACGCCTCTGTGAAATGATTCAGGGAGCCAGGCTCCTTCCGCCTTCCTGTCACCTGTCAGTACTTCACTGTGCGCTGCATGGTCAAGGTTAGGTCACCCTGTCCAGGTTCTGTTCCACAGAAAGGGACAAGAGCATGGAAGGCCTGGAAGTAGCACTTGCCCCTCACTCACATTTTAGTGGGAAAGAGTTGGTCACATGGCTCCAGCTACCTGCAGAGAAGGCTGAGAAATGTGGTCTAGTGGGTGCCCTGGAAGAAGGAGGTGATGGGCTCTGGTGGAAAGCTGCCAGGCACTGCTCCAGTCTATCCTCTGCTACTGATACCTGCATGGACCCTCCTTCTACCCACCACACACGCTGCCTCCATCCCCAAGGCTGCAGCCACAGCCCACATGGTCACTCATTCACTGTCTCTCAGGCCTAGAAATGACTCCTCTGACTCACACACACACACGGAGTGGGGCAAGAGAACTACTATCACAACTCCCACTCAGAAAAGAGATGTGTCCTGGCCTGTGGTAGTGATGGAGTCCCCCTGGGCAGCACTGGGACAGCTGGCAGAGGGGGAGATTTCCTCCATGAAACCCCAGTTCTGCCCCCTGGGAGCCTCTGTCTGTTACCCACCTTGGCCCAAGGGGAGGCAGGCAGTGGGGAGGGTGTCCTCCTTGGGGCCTGGCAGCGTTTGCTGCCTACTTCCTGCTGATAGCAGTTTGAGCTTTCAAAGGCTCTCATGCCTTTAAGACCTCAGTAGGCTCTTGTAGGCTAGGCTCACTTTTCTCTGATAACAGGATTTTCTCAAAAACCTAGGTGGCTTCTGAGCTCTTTACTCCCAGTCAGTCCTGTGGCCAGTAGCCACATACAGATTTCTTCCATAGATGGAAGCCTGGGCTGCCTTATTTTCTGCATCTTCACCCCAAGCTCAGCTCTCTCAATCTGTTTTTGCATCAGGATTGGATCCTCTTTTGTGGCTTAATGAGAGGCCTTTGTTATTCAGAGCCTTATATTCTCTTTTGGCTTTTCCGGTCTGTATGCAGCCTTTAATCCCCAAATGCTTCGTTTCATTCCATCGGCCTGCAGATGTGCCAGTTCTCTCCCGGCTCACCTTTTTCATGTCGCACCAACTAACAGCAAGGAGCCATCATACACAGAAACACTCTAACCGTCCCCACAGGCTTGGTAAGCACGCTATGGGCCTTCCAGGTTATCACAGGCAGCAGGTTGACAGGGCCTCGCGAGTACCCAGCCTGCTGTGTCAGTTGGCCCCTTCACACAGCCTCTGAGCCAGTGCTGCGTGCTGCCTATATTAGGTTTCTGCTTTGGTGGCACCATTTCCGGCTCCTCCCCGCACAGACTCTCCTCTGCTGTCCCCTTACCCCTGCAGGTGGTCCTCTGAGGTTCGGTGGGGCCCTCGTAGGATGCCCCAAGTCCAGTTCCCTTCTTCAGGGTCTACTTCTGGCCTCTGGGAAGCACATCTTTGTCCTTTGTCCTGCCATGAGTAGGAGGACAGCCCACTTCTGCTATGGTCCAACTGGCTGCTGTCAGGTAGCACCTGCCAAGCTCTTGACTTTGGATTTTATACCTGAGTCAGGTGTATCTTTATGTTCCCACATTCCTCAGGACACATGTCAGCCTCTTCTGCAGGTTCTCTCCAACACACCCAACGAGGCCACCACTGTCTTTAAAGAACAGCTCCTCACCATCTTGTAATCAGTCCTGTAATCTTCCCCACATCTTACCCTTGAGGCAGGTGATGGGCTGAATGGTGGGTGGTCATATGGCAGATCTTTATGTCTTGCATGAATTAGCCAGCAGCCATTGGTGTCTTACCTTAGGCCTCCTGGAAACTCTCGGATGATGGGGTTGTCTGGGATACATCCTGTAACCTGCACATATATCCTCATAGGGGCACAAAAGCTCATACAAGAATGTTTATTCGAGCAGTATTTTTATTGTTATAATTCACATACCATAAAATTTACCATTTAAAACAATGTACCATTTGTGGTTTTGAGAATATTCACAAGGTTGTGCATCTTTCCCCAATAACTCCAGAATACTTCTATCGTTCCACCAAGAAACAACGTGCCCATGAATAATCATTCCCCATTCCTTCCTTCCCCAAAACCCTGGCAATCACTAATCTACTTTCTGCCTCTATGGATTTATAGCAATTTCTTAAAATTGAAAAACAGGAATGTCTCCAAGTCACAAGTGTTGATAAATTTTCAAAAATTGAACATAGTATGTAACTCAAAAATAGCTCAAGAAATAGAATATTACTAGCCCCCAAAAGCAAGCCTCCTGCTCACTTCTAGTTATTAACCCCTCCATGCCCCTGAGTAACTATCATTGTGATTTCCAAGAGACTGGATTAATTTTGCCTGGTTTTTTACTTTATATAAACTGTATCATTAAATGTGTGTGTGTGTGGCTTCTTTCAGTCACCATTGTTTGTGAGAATTTTCCATACTGTTACATTTATAGGCATTTCTGGTTTTGCTATATAGTATTCCATTGTATGAATATACTGCAGTATATTATTAAAGTATAGTTGACATACAATATTATATTAATCTCAGGTGTACAACATAGTGATCTGACATTTATAAACTTTACGAAATGATCATCTCAATAAATCTAGTAACCATCTGTCACCCTACAAAATTATAATGACATTATTAATTATATGCCCTGGGCTGTACATTACATTTCCATAACTTATTTATTTTATAACTGAAAGTGTGTACCTCTTAATTCCCTTCACTTATTCTGCCCATACCCCACCCTGGCCTCTCTGGCAACCATCACTTTGTTCTTATATCTGTGAGTCTGTTTCTGCTAGGTATGCATTTCTTTTGGGTATGTACCCAAGAGTGGAATGGATGGCATATGAATGTATTCAACTTTAGTGGATACTGCCCAACAGTTTTCCAAACTGATTGACCCATTTACTGGCCCAGCAGCAGTATCTGAAAGCTGTGGTTGTTTCACTTTCTGGCCAACTCTTGACACTATCTGTCTCTTTCATTTTAACCACTCTGGAGGTACCTCCTAGTGACTTTTTAATTTGTATTTTCCTGAAGATTAACAAAGTTTTACACTTTTTCATATGTTCACTGGCCATTTGGATATCTTTTTATTTAAGGAAATCTGTTCAAGTATTTTACCCATTTTTCTATTGTGTTTTCTTTTCCTTATTGATTTGTAAGACTTCTTTATATATTCTAGAAATGAGTCCTTTTTCAGACGTATGTAATGCAAATTTTATCCTACTTTATGGTTTGCTGGACATAATTTTTTTTTTTTTTTTAAATATATCTTTTATTGATTTCAGAGAGAGGACAGGAGAGGGAGAGGAGAGATAGAAACATCAATGATGAGACAGTCATTGGTCGGCTGCAGCCTGCAACCCGGGCATGTGCCCTGACCGGGAATTGAACCCCGATCTCCTGGGTCCTAGGTTGATGCTCAACCGCTGAGCCACGCCCAGCTGGGCTGGACATAAATTTTAATAATAAAAGCATTGGAAAGCTCAACATCCAGCTGAAGGGGATAGGTTGAATAAATAAAATATTATGAAAATATGCTAATATGGAACAGTTTCCAAGATGTATTAATGAAAACCGTAATGTGCTTCATTTGCATATTGAAAAGAATATAAAATGTTTGGAAGGATACGGAAGAGACTGTCCTCATAATTGACTGGGGTTGGGGGCTGCCTGTTAGGGAAGAAAGCTACTTTTCTTTTAGCCCTTCATGCTGTTTAAATTTTTACTCTGTACATGTTCACTATTTTCCATCAATTTCATAAATATAAATTAAAATAAATGTGATTTGATGTTAATAAAATGAAGCAGTTTGGTAATTGTATGTTTTTGGTGGTTTTTGTTTCCCTGCAGCTCTCTGGATGAGACCACCTATGAAAGACTGGCTGAGGAGACCCTGGACTCCTTGGCAGAGTTTTTTGAAGACCTTGCAGACAAACCTTACACATTGGAAGACTATGACGTCTCCTTTGGGGTACCTCTTCACTTATTTTCATTTTTTTGTTTCCCCCCTAAGAATTTTAGCTCACTGAAGTAAAGAATATCCTTCCAGCAGAGGTAAGCATCCAACAGCATTTGGTTAAGGGTGAGACCAAGACACTAGGGCTCACATTCCAACCCTGCTCCACCAGGCATGTGACCTTGTGCAAGTCACTCAGCCTCTTTGAGCCTCATTTTTGCTTAAAAACACAGATTCTCAAGATTCACTCAATATCCATGAAGATAAAAAGGGACCCAGCATGTGTTTGTCTCACCAGGCAGGCATGTGGAACACTCAACTACACCACTAGTTTTAAGCAGGGTAAGATATTGCCCGAAAAATATTCATATTATACTGACATGGGCCCCTCATAGGAGCATATTTTTTAAAAGCTCACCTGAGATTCTAATGTGCGTCCCTGGGTCCCACCCCTAGGAGTTTTTATTTAATGGATCTGGGAGTATGGCCCAGACAATGCATTGGGGTTTTAAGTTTTTTTAAATCCCCTCCCCAGTTGATTCTAATACACAGCTTGGGCTGGATGAAACTTGAGCCCCAGATCCTGGAAGCCAGGGCGTGCTGGTCCGAATCAAATAGCCACCAGGTGGCAGACTTTAGCAACAGTCCACTCTTGGATTTAGAATTACTGTATTGCTTAGGCCTTAGGAAGCAGTTCTTTTTTGCCATTGGGAGAAAATCCCTTGCAGAGATTAATCCTCTTGAGAGCAATTAATTAATACGTGGAAATGTCATGAAGTGTGCATTTTGGATTAAACCATGGAATTATTTAGGACAACCAGCTGTCAGGCTGAAGTGATAGAAATACTGTTGGATATGGCTGTTGGATCACTGGGTAGGGAAGGGACTCCCTCAGATGGAGCAGGTGGCAAAATCTGGATGTAAGGACAGCAAGGGACTTGGTAAAATTAGAGGCAATGGGCAAGAAAGGAATGAATGCCTTCCGGGTGGTTTTAATGATCACTATGAGCAGCAGGGTCCTGGCAGGGTGCTTATGCAGACAGCCTCAGAGGGCAGAGCTGCCTGGGAACCACTGCAAACTGGCCTGGCCAACTGTACCATCTGTGGGATGATTAGAGCTAGGGAAGTTATAGGTCCCCTTTCCTCTAGCTACCAAGGGCTCCAGCTAAAGGAAAATCATTCTCAGGCTAAACTCTGCCACACATGCAGACATTTATTAGCATGTCACAAAAACAGTTACACCGCCTGTTCTTACAGGATTGGTGAAGCCCCACGTTGACCCAAGTACTTTGCATAAATGTTTCATTCCAAGCGAATGTGCCAGTATTCTAGCAGCTAGATTCTGTTGACCTCATTGAGTCCAGCAACAAAAGCTTCTGCTCAGTGGTGGGTCACAGGACCTACTGAATCCTCCCTCCAGTGTCTCTTTGAAGAGTGACTCAGTTGCTGGGCTTTCCAGATCCTGTAACCCATTCCTGGAAGGGAGGAGCCACCTGCTTTTTTCTAGCCAATGCATATAACCTGAGCGTCATTCTACTCACCAGCAAAAAATTATTTCTAGCAAATTATTTGTTAAAGGCATATAGTAGCTGCCTCTGTGGCTTGGACTTCTGAATAAATACTTTGAAATGCTAACTACCCTGGGGTGTGATTTCCTGATTAGAGTCTTTCAGGCTCTCGCTTACATATTTCACATATAAGATATGTCAACGTAAGAAACATTCAAACCTGTAGAGAATTTTTGAAAGTTTATTTGAGTCAAACTGGTCACAATTGCTGGGAAGCAAAATCTCAATGAATTGAGAAAATGCTGTGGAAAAATGGCAGTTCTGCACTCTGCTTTATGCATTACAATCAAAAGAGAGGATGTCAGTGGGCTACATGAAATCCATTGGGGATAGATTAGGGAAGCAGGAGAAAGCAAAGCAGGGAAACTTCTGGGATTGAATAGAAAGTAAAATGATAGACACTTACTTCTTTGACATAGGTGTATACAGGATAGTTAACAGTTAACTCAAAAACATTGAAGAGATTTGTGGTCTCCACTCTGGTGTGGCACCTGTGCTTTGAGAGGTCTGAAAAAAGGAAATTACTTTGACATTCTAATGATATGCTATTGTAGATGCAAAAAGACAATAGACAGGCTCAGTTAAGGTAAAGATTGACTTTTGTCAGGGAAGATTCTAGCCTAGGACCTGATTACCTGACATAAACTGCTTTTAGTTAGTAAGTTTTCATTTCAGACCATCCTTTGTGGTTACTTGAGGTCTCTGAGTTTGGAAGGCCGCCATGCAGGCCTCCCCTGAGTTTGTCAGGTTTAGAATAGACAATGGAACACCTCTCACACTATTACTTGAGCTTTCTTGGAATACAGTCTCTCCCTGCCCTTAGGGTTCTGGGGGAGGGAGAAATTTTACTCTGCCCTCCTAGGTTCTTTCAGCTGATCTAATAAATCTACATAAAACAGATTAACAAGAGAAAATAACCAGATTTAATTACATACACATGGGGACCCCACATTTATGAGAGAGTTATAGACCCCAAATACATGAGAGGTCAGGGACAGAAAGTTAAAATGAGGAATATATGGTATTCTGAATTAAAGATGAGATAAGGCACGTTGGGGCTTCAGAAGGGAGGAAGGTTATTACTAGACAATAAAAAGAGCAAATGTTTAGTAATTAAAAGTTTTCCCTGTCATATAACTATGTCATAAAAAGTTATTTCTGGCAATAGCTTTTATTATAGGCAAGGCCCCAAATTTAAGTTCTTCAAGGGAGACATAAAAGTTTTTCTTAGGGACGCAGGGTCTTCATTGCCTTCAGCCCAAGATAATTCACATGCCAAAGTGGCACATTTTGGGGAGGCCTATTCTGAACCCCTCTAGGGTCCAGTTGGATGTTACCTCCTCTGTGAAGCCCTCCTAGATACTCCAGGCAGACACCACAGGTTCTTCCTTGCCCAGCACTCTGAGGATCACTTTGTGGAGCACAGGATCACCCTGTGTTCTAATTGTCTTTACACATCACTCCCATGACAAGACTGAGTTCCTTGGCAGTAGGAACACTGTCCGTTCTTGGTACCCCAGTGGAGGAACATTGCCAAGTAATAAATGTTGATTCACTGTGTTGATGAAATGGGGCCCACATACTTCTCTAAAACACACTTTCATTGATGGTACTCAGCATTTATAGGTATTTTGCCTCTTGCTACTGGCCAAGTTGGCAAATGAAAACAGTAATCCAGATACACCCAAGGATGCATTTGTTATTATTTTTTCAAAATGAGAACTTGCTTGTTGCCACGTTCATCATGCACTAAGTTGCTGGCATATGACTGGTATAGAACACAGGTTTCTATATATATATATATATTTTTTTTAATCCTCACCTGAGAATATTTTTTCCATTGCTTTTCAGAGAGAGTAGAAGGGGGAGAGAGAGAGAGAAGGGAGAGAAGCATCGATGTGAGAGACACACATTGACTGGTTGCCTCCCACACGCACCCTGACTGGGGCCGGGGATTGAACTTGCAACTGAGGTACATGCTCTTGGCCAGAATCGAACCCGGGACCCTTCAATCCACAGGCGGACACTCTAGCCACTGAGCCAGACCGGCTAGGGCGAGCACAGGTTTCTTAACCTTTTGGGATCAGGACACCCCGTAAGAATCTGACTGCTCTAGATCCTCTCCTGAGAAAAGCTCCACACACCCATCTGCGCAGTTTTAGCTTCAGGGTGGGGGCTGTTTGCAGATCCCTGACGACCACCCCTGGGTCTCAGGTTATGGACACCTTGATATTCATTATTCTTATTCCTCAAGGGGAAGTCGGAGCCTAGTTGAGGAGTGTGGGAAGCCTCCCCTCACTTCACTCTGCCCCGTGTGTGTCTGTTTCTGTAAGTTGTTGGTGACAACAGGAAGTGCTGTTCTTGCTTCCACCTCTGTAGGGCTGATACTGACTGGCGGGAATTAATGAGCCTCACCAGCTGTGGCCGGGGTCTGTCCTGATTGATTAATGCCTGTGCTTCGGCAGCTGCTAAATGTTTTGGCTGTCTCTAACCCTCTCACCCCACCCACCCCCCGCATTTAAATCTGCCCACACTCCCAAAATAGGCTCTGATTGCTGCCGAAGGAATAGCAATAATGAACAAAACGGCCCTCTTCATCTGGTCTATTGCAGCCAGCTCCAAAAGCAGTAAAAACTCGTGGTGAACCAGTAAGGCAGTTCGTTTCCTTCCTGCCCTTGCCACTTTCCTTTGGAAATAGCTTCAAGCTCCATAGGGAAAAAATATCTAATTACACACAATGAACAGGAAGGAGATGGGGGCAGTGAGTGTTGAGACTTTCTGCCTTGCATAGCCTTGCCCTTAACTTGGGCACAGGTTATCACAGTACCTGATTATCACAGTGCCTGGTTATCACAGAACCCGGTTATCATCCGCTCCGTTCATTCATCCACAAATGTATTTCCTATCCATCCAGTATTTTGCATGAAGAACGGATGTGCTAGACACTGAAGGGGAACAGACAAATCTGCTCACAAGGGGCCAGGTTCACATTATTCGTATCACCGGTATTCCCATTGTCTCTATAATTTCTCTTTTTTAATCAGAAAAAAAGGTTACTAAAAAAATAATCCAACAGCGTCCTCCCCATCCTGTGCCTATCAGTTACATTATTACTGGTACTTTCTCCATCTTTTCAGTGGCTCTTTGTGTTTGTGATCCAAACATAAAATGTAAGAACCATTCAGGGCCCCTTGGTTGGACAGGGGCTCTGGAAGGCACAGAGAAAGGGTGCCGTGTATCTCTGCGGGTTATGCAGGGCTGGGGAACAGCGAGAGGCTCCCCAGTTCACCAGCTCCAGTAAAGGAAACTTAGCGGTGTAGCTGTTTGGCGTAGCTGTTTCTTTAATATCCTGCGCATTCTAAGGAAACCTCAGGCCTTGGGACTAAAGGGCTTCTTTGTTGAAAGAGTGTTTTCAAATTTAAATGAGCATTTATTGAGCAAAGTTGGACCAACTGGTCTTTTGAAGGATTCACAGCTGCTGGAGAGGAAAATAAAGCTGGAGAGGATTGTCTGAGAAGCTGATGAGATGTGTGGGAAGGGTCTGGAAATAAAAACCCTCGTCTGGAGTGTCTGCCTCCTCCCAGCAGAGCTGAGGCTACTGCTCCACTAAGACGAGCAAAGCAGATGGTTTGATTATGTACCTCTTTCTTGCCTTTTTTCCTTCTTTTGGCAATGAACTTGTCCTGTCCCATGTTTGGGCCAGTGTGGTACCCCAGGAGAGCTGGTGTCTGAGGTTTTTAATGCCCTCTAGTATGTTCTGGCCAGTGGTTGAGCAAACAAGGCAGCGATCAGGATGCGAATCTTCCTGTTTGCCAGCTGCAATACTCAGACAAGCCTCAGCACTGCGTGCCTCCGTTTCCTCATCTCGAGAGGGGAAGAATGATTGTTTTCACCTTGCTGAACTCACAGGGTGTGAAGGAAGGCACTAGGAGATTTGAGTTTGTGATTAATCATAGTCTGATTCTGAGAGGAAAGTTCTTTCTGCATGATACCCTATTTCTAAACACTAAAGACACTTTTTTATGGTGTATATTGTGTGCTTGTATGAGTTCAAAGTGTTGAGATGTAACAAAATAGGAAGCAATTATGATGAAGTGATAACTTCATCTTATTTTCCTCTTGCTTTTTCCCACCTGATCCCCTAGAGTGGTGTTTTAACAATTAAACTGGGCGGAGATCTAGGAACCTACGTGATCAACAAGCAGACCCCAAACAAGCAAATCTGGCTGTCTTCACCATCCAGGTATGTTTAGAAGTCAGTCTGTCATTGTTAAGCTTGTTTGAAACATGACATTATGGACCATTTAAGAAGCGTCCCCCTCGTGTGGTAGTATCTATGTAAGCGAACCCTTCCTGATGTTTGACAGCATGTCTCGTTCTCAGTAGGAAAGTTGATTCCAGTTATGTAACTTCTATCTGCTGATCATTTGGCTCCTATAAGCAGATACTGGATCATAAATAAGATCTGAAGTGAAAAATTTATAACTTTTCAGAACCGGCCTAGACAGTTTTCCTCTATTAAATCGTTGCCCTGCCTTTTAAAAATTTAGCCACTTTTGATATTGCAGCATCTGGACAAGCTGCACTTTGTCTCCAAAGCAAGTTAAAATTTGACCTCTAGTTTGTTTTGAGCACCTCAGTTAAAGGTTAGTTGCATTCCGTTTGCAGAATTGGGCTTGTGCTCTGTGGAGGTGGGAGGGCGTTTTAAGCTGCTATTCCAGGCATTTAATCCCTGCTGCCTTTTCCATTATGTGCTTTCAGTCTAGTGGAATAAAAGATTGTGTTGAGATGGCCTGTGCTGCTTCTCAAGGCCTGAAAACATGCGGGGAGAGAGGGTCTCTCATCCTTCTGGCTGCTGTTGAAGTGATTATAAGAAAGTAAAAGAGAGACGCCCACAGAAAGCTCTTAGACCGGCCTTTGTGAGGCATTCATTAGCACTTCCAAAGAGAACATATTGACTGAATTGGGAAAGGACCAAATATAACTAGACATAGATTCTTTGAAAGCCTAATGGTGTTTGTATTTTTTAAAAAATTTAACTCACCCTGGCCAGGTAGTTCAGTTAGTTGGAGTGTCATCCTGGGCACCAAAAGGTTGCAGATTCGATTCCCAGTCAGGGCACATCCCTAGGTTTCGGGTTCCACCCCTGGTCAGGGTGCACACAGGAAGCAACCAGTCAGTGTTTCTCTCTCTCTCTCTCCCTTCCCTTCTCTCTAAAAGTCAATGAAAACATACCCTCAAGTGAGGATTGAAAAAGAAAATTTAACTCTTCACCTGCCCCAACCTTGATCTCATTTTTAGGCAGGTAATATTCGATTTGTCAGTTTAATAAAGCATTATGCCTCCTTCAGCCCAACTTCATCTATGTTATAATTCAACAAAAACAACTCCAGAAATCACTGTCATTCCTAGCAAGGCCCTCACAAGTTGCTTGCTTTTTAGGCTCAGTTTACTTGAAGTTCAGGGTTTGCCCGGTGCGGCCAGTTAGCCCATTCCTGCGGCCACGCGTGAGGGCCGCGCATCCCTGCCTCTCACCTTCGGAGGAACCGGGACGAGGAACTAGGTGGAGGAGCTCGAGCCCAGCCTCCCGCTCTGGGGATCTGTGGCTGTGGAAATACCGGGCAGGGCACCGGAAGCAACTGTGATGGCCCCACTAAAAGAATTCTTTGTTGTGTCTAGAGACTGAAAAAGTCCATATCGTATTTGGACACACGTACCAGTGATATCCTATCCCAGGCATGTTTAGAAGCATGTACTTCTGGGTAATAATAAATTCCTGGAAATTTCAAGTTGTGTATATATTTGTAATCTGCAATTTATAATGGGAATCTGGAGAGCAAATCTGCCAAGCAGCCATTTTTTTATCACAGATACTATGTCCTCAAAAAAAAAAAAAATAATATATATATATATTACACTACATTTTTCACATTGGTTCAGAGTCATCTTTCATGGGGCTGCATTCATGAGATTTTGGGGTTTTGTCAAGTTGACAGCTTTTCAGGTCCTATGGAAACAGCGGCCTTTCCCAGCCCCTTGCCCCCACTGAGGAGGCAGTAGGATGGCATGAAGGAGGGGTCTGATGGACCCTGGACGGCAGTGCCTGTACTCAGAGCCCCGGGAGCAGTGGAGGGGCCTGGAGGTTTCTCTCGCTCTGCCTGGCACGCTGGTGGCAGGTCGGAGCCCTGGGACAAGGGAACGTCCTCTGGATTTGGTCTGGGTCCTTGGTCCTTTCTACGTGACCCAGATGGTTTGTGTTCTGCTGTTTGTGCAGATGAAGCAAAGGCCTCAGTCCTTTTGGTTTGTCCCGTTTGTCTCCAGTATTAGGAGAATGTTCAGACCCCAGCATTTGGTTGATAATACAGAAATCCTTGATTTTTTAGATCCCAAAAGATACTTCCCTTCTAAGCTTTCCTCCACCCTGGCAGGCTCCTCCCAATCTTGGACTTCGGAAAATCTCCCTGTGAGCATACAGGTGCCCCTTCTCTTGGGCGCCCAGCATCCTCTGCTCCTTCCTTTAAGGCGTCATCCTGTACCCTCCTTATCTACTGCATGTCCACCCCCCACCAGGCTGAGAGGGGGTGGAATTAGTGGGCACATGTTGTGTACATCTGGAATAACAAGACGTGGCAAAACACACTCCACCTGTGTCTACAGCATTCCCAGCGTGAAGTGCACAGACCACTCTTGTTCCCTAGCTGAGCTTGAGGTGGCCAAACTGGCCTGTCAACTGTTTCGTGGATTTAAGGTTGAATTAAGAAAAAACATTTTAAAAAATAATAAAATAGGTGGTTGCCAGGGCCTAGGAAGGGGAGGGAATTGGGAGTTACTGCTCCATGGGTACAGGGTTTCCTTTTGTGGTGATGAAATATTTATTTTGGAATTAGATAGAGGTAGTGGTTACACAACATTATGAGTGTACAAAAATTGATAATGTATACAAGGGACAAAACATGTCAACGGTATATGAATGACGTAGTTTAAAAACACTGCTCTGATACAGCAGGTATCATATATGAGTCAGGAAAAGTAACAGATCAGAGTGTGACACATGGAGACTTATCAATAGAGTTCAGATGTTTTCAGGTCTTGAGAATTATTCTCTGACTTATCCCAGAAGATTAATTGTGTAACTATTCTTAAATAGAAAGACCCTAAGACAAGAAGTCAGATGTATGCCTCATTAAGTATTACTTTCTAGAGTTCCACTCCAGTCGATTTTTTGGTGGCAGCCTCTGTGGAATCAGTGTTTCTTCTAAAGGGCTGTCCCTGGGATGAACTGTGTGTGTGTGTTGTCTTGCAGTGGACCCAAGCGCTACGACTGGACCGGGAAAAACTGGGTGTACTCCCACGACGGCATGTCCCTCCATGAGCTGCTGGCCACAGAGATGACCAAAGCCTTAAAAACCAAACTGGACTTATCTTCTCTGGCCTATTCTGGAAAAGACACCTGATGCCCAGCCCAGTTCTAAAAACATTAGATGCTCGAAAGCCACGACCCCAGCTTCCTTCTGCTGCTGAATGTCTAGTTTGTTCCATTCCTGCTTTTGAGGACAGTTGTATTCTGGGTAACAGCTCTGGGAAAAGAATATGTCACCTCCCACCCTACCTCTGACTTTGAATGTTTAATTTCCTTAGTTTTTGGATTTATTGTCTGATTTCCTCCCTCACGTGATACCCCGTATCTTTTTAATACCTACATGCCCATACCTTCATATATAACCTTGCAACAAGGAAAAATAATGAGGAAAATCCTGAGAGGAGAAACGAATGGGTTTCTCCATTCATCCTTTGAAGGACTTAGTGAAAACTGCATGAAGAGTGGCTGGCCTATCTCACCATTCTGTCTCAAAGTGAGACTCACTGGAGAGTAGCCTAGAAATGTTCCCACGCCTCTTGAAAACATAAACACCTCTAAGCCTGTTGCTATTGAAATCTCAAAGGCAACTGGGGAATTCTCAAAGGAAGACCATTCTCTCTGTGCTTTGTGTCTGCCAGGGTGTATTAGCCTGCAAGGGGTGACTCGGAGATACGGTGCTGTTTCTCCCATACGTACATATATGTGTATGTACACACACATTTAAATATGTGCTCGTGGATGTTGTGTAATAAATGAGGAAAGGGAGCTGAGGAGGCTCCTTGCAAATTTTGAAGGGCCACACGAATAGAAGAGACGTTTGTGTCAATGCAAATAACCCTGGTTTGCACTTGGCTCAGTCCAAAGTGTTGTCCATCTCTGGGCAAGTTTAACACACTCACTGGACCTCTCTTTTCCCATGTGTTAAATGAGACAGTTGAACTGGATAGAGTATAGTGGATTCCCAATTCAGACACTCAGCATTCCTGTCGGGCAACTTAACAGGCCAGCTTTAATTACCTCTGGTAGACGAGGGATGACAGGAACAATTTTTTTAAGCTATAGAGTAAAATATATGGTTATTAGAATTACTTGAATGTCCATTGAATTCATGTTCAAATAATAACCATCCTTTATTGTGCCCTTACTGTGCTAAACCTATGCTATAGACTGAATGTTTATGTTACCCCAAAACTCATATGTTGAATCCTAACCCCAAAGGGATGGTATTAGAAGGTGGGGCCTTTGGGAGGTGATTAGGTCTTAAAGGGTCAGCCCCCAGCAGGGGAATTAGTCCCCTTATCACAGAAACCCCAGAGAGCTCCCTCACCCCTCCTACCATGTGAGGACACAGCTGTCTATGAACCAAGAAGTGGGCCCTCACCAGACAGTGAGGCTGCTGGGGCCTTGATCTCAGACTTCCCACCCTCCAGAACTGTGAGAAATAAGTTTCTGCTGTATGTAAACCATCCAGTCTACAGTATTCTTTTATAGCTGCCTGAATGGACAAAGCTGGCCTGCAACACCATATGACCTCATTTTAATACCTTCAGGAACATTAAAATTCATCCAAAGTTACATCCATGATTTTCTTACGAAGAAAGATTCATTAATTTAACAATAAAACAATGTAAGCAAATGTTCCATGGGTATTTAAAATATTTCTTTTTTCAAAAATAAAATTATTGTTTAGTCTGGTGGAAATTTTAAGTGTGGTAGTTCAGAATCAGTGAGAATATAAAATCTTGTGTGTGTATGTTGTATGTGTGTGTTTTAGTCTGATTTTAATGCAAGTTTCATTGGACCTCATTTGGAACTCAGTTAAATGGTGCATTCATCTACCATCTATCTGGACACAACATAAAATTTAGGTATTTAACCAGGCTGCTGTAACATGAAAATGGAAGTTAATTAGGGACACAACATAAAATTTAAGGGGTATTTAATCAGGTGCCATAACATGAAAAGGGAAGTTAGGGAACCTGTGCTCTTGGTGCTTTCCTTATGGGCAAGCCTTTCAGGTTTATTTACTTTTATTTTACATACAATTCTAACTGGTTTAATTATAGTGGTACCTCAGTTTTCTAATGTAATCCTTTCCTGAAGACCGTTGGAGTTCTGAAACATTCAAAAACTGGGGGATCCACAGCCAACAGCTAGGCCTCAGGATCTTGCACTCAGCAGAAGCCGTGTGGCATGTTCAACTTCCAAGGCATGATCGAAAACCGAAGCATTTACGTCCAGGTTTATGGCATTCAGTTCGTAAACCGAAATGCTCGTCAACGGAGAAGTTCAAAAACCGAGGTACCACTGTATTTAGTTTTCCATGCCCCTGGGAGAGTCCCATTGAGGCCCTAAAAGGACTACAAGCACAAGAACAGCCACCAGGGGGCAAATAAAACTCATACTCTGACGAGCAAACTGGAAAAGCACCACAATATGGTCCCAGTGGCTCCCCACCTGCCCCCTCAGACCCTGGAGCATCATCAGGATCACACATGGGAGGATGGTATCATCCACAGGAAGGATGAGTTTCAGGAAAGTGTAAACATTCAGTATAACAAAGGAGGCAAGAATATGTGTAATATAATTTTAGAAAGCTTTCTTTATGTTTAGCTTCTGGAGTGAATAGACCCTTAACCACCAGAGGAAAAATTCCCTAGAATGACTTACAAACCTCCCTCTGAAGATACAGAAAAGAACTGGGGTGTGTAAAAGAGAACCTGAGTCTTTTCATCAGAATTTTAAAAATTCAAACTGCCACTTAACTTGCTTGTTGACACCAGCCTCAGTTTTCTTATCTGTAAAATGGAGACATCTAACTTGTGGTGCCTGGGCCCACATGCAAAGCCCTCAGTACATGACAAATATTGTTATCACATGTGCAGCATAATTTTGTATTCAAATTTGGAGTTTTCCCCTAAAGTATTATTTATGACATTCTCTACTCACCTCAAACTTAGTCAAAATGCTCATTTTATGACCTTGGTGATGGATTCCATAGGACATCTCGTGCTCCCTACAGTGCTGACTTTTGCTCCATCTGCATAGCTTCTAAAAACAAATCGACCAACTTTAAGTTTCATAGTTTGTATGAAATAGTAAGTTTGCAATGTTTCTCAAGCTATACCTGCTCCCAAATTCTAATAACCCCATTGCTACCTTTAAAGAAAGACCGTGTTTATAAATGTGAAATTTGTGTGGATGGTCTATGCAAGGTTGCCAAGAAAAGCTGGTTTCCCACCCTCAAGGTACACACTAAGATTAAAGTAGTTCTAGGTTGTGTCCAGTTGAATTCTTGGCATGAATTTATCTTTTGCAAATGAAAACACCTACATACCAGACGGGAAGGAGAGGCACAAGCATGAAATTTTATGTAAATGTATCCTGCTGTTCAAAACTATAACTTTATGACAGTCTTAGTTGGTATAGCTATGTTAGAGTAAGAAATGCCTTAATCCTTGGTTTGACTTCATTAGCCATGACATCCTAAGGATCCCAATTAATGGCCCCTTTGGAATATGCAAAACTGAGATAATTTATATCCTGATGTCTGCTACAGAAATAGAATCTGAGCTCACACAGTCCATCTTCTTCTCTGGGTGCATTATTTAAGATACAGAATGCTTCACCTCTTGACAAAGTGAGTATAGAGGGAATGTACCCCAACATAATAAAGGCCATGTATGACGCACACACTGTGAACAGCATATCCAACAGTGAAACGGGAGAACCTTTCCTCTAATATCAGGAACAAGACAATGATGCCCACTTTCACTACTTTTATTTAACATAGTATTAGAGGTCCTAGCCAAAGGAACAAGGCAAGAAAAAGAAAAAATGTATCCAAATCAGAAAAGAATTAAAACTGCCACTATGTACAGATAACTTGATATGATATGTAGAAAACCCTAAAGACTGTACCAAAAACTGTTAGAACTAATAAATGAATTCATTAAAGCTGCAGGATATAAAAATCAATATTCAAAAATCTGTTGTATTTCTATACTCTGAACTATCAAAAAGATCAGTTAAGAAACAAACCTATTGCCCGGCTAGGCGTGCCTCAGTGGTTGAGCATCGACCTAGGATCCAGGAGATCGCAGTTTGATTCCCGGTCAGGGCACATGCCCAGGTTGCGGGCTCGATTCCCAGTTGGGGCATGCAGGAGGCAGCCGATCAACGATGACTCTCTCATCATTGATGTTTCTCTCTCTCTCCCTCTCCCTTCCTCTCTGTGAAATCAATAAAGATATACTTTTTTAAAAAAAGAAACCCATTTACATTAGTATCAAAAAGAATAACTTTAACCAAGGAGGTAAAAGACCTGTACACTGAGAACTATAAGTCATTGATGAAATAAATTGAAAATACAAATAAATGGAAAACTATTCCTTGTTCATGAATTGAAAGAATTAATGTTAAAATGTTCATACTACCCCAAAGTAACCTACAGATTCAATGCAATCCCTGTCAAAATTTTAATGGTGTTTTTTACAGAAAGAGAAGAAACAATCCTAAAATTTGTATGAACCACAAAAGACCCCAAGTAGCCAAGGAAATCTCGAGAAAGAACAGCAAAGTTGAAGACCTCACACTTCCTGATTTCAAACTACACCACAAAGCTTTATCAAAACATCTTGGCATTGGCATAAAATAGACATAGATTAATAGAACAGATACAAGAGCCCAGAAATAAAACCATACATATATGATCAATTAATTTATGACAAAGAACCAAGAATATACAATAGGAAAAATAGCCTTTAAATAAATGGGGCAGAGAAATCTGGACACCCACATGCAAAAACATGATACTGGACCCCTATCACACCATATACAAAAGTCAACTCAAAATTAATTACAGATTTGAACCTAAGTCCTGAAATCATAAGACTCCTAGAAAAAAACAAAAACAGAAGCTAAGCTTCTAGACATCTATCTTGGCAATGATTTTGCCATCAAAACAAAGGCAACAGAAGCAAAAATAAACAAGTGGAACTACATCAAAATAAAAAGCTTCTGTGCAGCAAAAGAAATCAGCAACAAAATTAAAAGCCAAGCTACGAAATAGAAAATACCTGCAAACCACATATCTGATACGAGGTTAATACACAAAATATATAAGGAACTCATACAATTCAATAGCAAATAACCCAATTAAAAACAGCCAAAGGGCCTAAATAAACGTTTTTTTCCAAAGAAGACATAGAAATGGCCAAAAGGTGACATGAAAGAGTTCTCAACATTACTTGTCATCCAAGAAATGCAAATCAAAGCCACCAGAAGGCATCACCCCACACCTGTTAGAATGGCTATCATCTAAAAGACGAAAGAAAAAGCATTGGCAAGAATGTGGAGAGAAGGGAACCCTCATGCACTGTTGGTGGGAATGTAAAGTGGTGCAGCCACTATGGAAAACAGTATGGAGTTTCCTCAAAAATTAAAAATGGAACTACCATATGATCCAGCAATTTCACCTCTGGGAATATACCTAAAGAAAATGAAGCCATCACCTCAGAGAGATATCTGCACCCCCATGTTTATTTCAGCATTATTCACAATAGCCAAAGTATGGAAACTACCTAAATGTTCATTGATGGATGACTGAATAAAGAAATATGGCATATACAGAGTGTCCCCAAAAAATGTATACACACTCTTTTCTGATGGCTCAATTGATGTTTCTTTCTTTTCAGATTTAACCCATTGGAATCAATAATTATTCAAAGTGCGTATACATTTTGGGGGGACACTCTCTATATAAATATAAATATTATTCAGCCTTAATAAAAAGAAAAATCCTGTCATTTGCAACAACATAGGTAAACCTGGAGGGCATATAAGTGAAATAAGCCAGAGAAATATTGCATGGTATCACTTACATGTAAAATCTAAAAATAAATAAATAGAAGTGTGTTTTTCTTTAATTCAATACAGTAGAGGCGTGGTTGCCAGCAGCTGGGGGGTGGGGCAAACCGGGAGAGATTGGTAAGAGGATACAAACTTTCAGTGATAAAATAAACAGATTGTTTCGATTCTTATAAAGATAATAAACCAGAATCAGAGTTTAAGCCAATAAACCAGAACAGATTTACTGATCCACTTACTTAAGGTTTATTTAAACTGCTGACACCCAAAAACTTCCTTCACAAAGTATTGTATCTCCCAC